AAGTTATGTAGTTGGTGTGGTGTGTTATTCCTGGAGAGGGAGAAACGAAGTGGATCTTTCTTTGTGATTATACATGTGAAGCATACGACACTACCTAGAGGAGGGGGTTGAATAGGTTTTTTGATTTTAGCTTAAACAATTACCAATTAAAAACTTATTACTACCTCAATTACCTCTTCTCACAAATGTTTAGCAATTAAACGTGAGAACCTCTTTTTAATTGCTACGACTTCATAAACCCATGAAGATTGATGTTGTTAATTTTAGCAATTAAACACACAAACACTCACTCTCACATGGGGAACCCAAATCCCAAAACCCAAACCTAATACGCAACTATGGATTATTTATATGTCAAGCATTCAATTCATCAAATACACAGTGCACGTTTGTGCAAACAATAACAAATATATATGTAAAAACATTCAAAAACACAAGTGATTTGTTAACGTGGAAATCCTCCTCAGGCAAAATCGCGGGAAACTTCTACTGGTTCACCAAAACCTAATTCATTACTCCAAAGTCAACATACATAGACTCAAGTCTTATACCTTAACCAATATTATGGTTAGATGCTCCCTTCCTTCAATATGCCTCTCTGTTGAAGTGACTTTCCGACATTATATGTAGCTTCACTTGGATTCACCTCCTCAAAGGATTCTCTAGGCCTCGAGTGATCTTGGAGGCACCAACTATCCTCGGAATGCACACATTGATGAAGTGAGTGGAAGGGATTTATCTCATCATCACAAAGAATTAGTGAAGAAACACTGAAAATTCTCCACAAATAAATAAATTTTTATTATATCACTCTTTTTCTAATAAAAATAGTTAGGAGGATTACACAACTATTTATAGACCAAGTTCCCTATCAAAATAAAAACTATTCTCCTACTAAAATTTTAAAATAATTCATAATCAAATTCTCAAATTCCTATCTAACTAAAACTCTATTATAATTTTGTAATCAAACTCTAACACATACTCCTAGTCAAACAAATATTCCTTAACTAATATAATAATAGTAAAACAAATAATTAAATTAAATTATTCAATTTAAGCGCATCCAATCTTTTTTCGATCTCTATCAATTCTCCTCGGTTGAAAAAAATTCTTCTCCAAAGAGTTGGAAGGCAACAAGGACCCCAAAAAATTTGAAGAAGCTTGTGTTCTAAGAAAATAGTATTGTATATTTCCATAGTAGAAAATTATCCCTTTATGCATTGCATCCATCATAGTCTTATCCATACACTATTATAGGTGAAGGAAGTATATAACCCAATGGAGACAAAATAACAACTCCATCAGTAGTGACACCCTTTGAAACTCCTTTAACTTCTGTAAGAAGATCCTTTGAGATCAGCTTATCAAAACCAATTGAAGTATGATGAGGAGAACTTTTAGGCTCATCAATGGTATCTAATTTCAGCTCATCATTCAATTGAACTGGAGCTTGTGGTTGTGGGGGAATTTCTTGGGGCAGGGCTTGTTCAACTATTTGTTGATGGTCGATGGGTGAAGAAGATGAATCAAAATCTACCTTGTTCAAGGTTTTTATTTGGGAGCGTAATTCCAAAAATGCCAGCCAACTTGTGTACACTTTCATGTATATATTCCATTGATGTGTGGAGCGAATCCCTTGATGCTTGGAGTGAATGGAGCTTAGCATCATGTGCTTCAAGTTTAACAAGTAATTCGGCATTGGTAACCATCATGATTGAACAAGTGACTTGAAAAGTTGCAGAAAATTTTAGAGTCAAACTATAATATCTGAAAATTTTGGGCTGATTTGTAATTTTTGAAAATTTTAGAGCCAAACAGTAATATCAAAAATTTTGGGAGAAAAATTGTAATTTTTAAACTTTGGGGGCCCAAAGTGTAATTTTAGAAACTTTAGGGGTCGAATATGTAATTTTAGAAAGGTTTTGGGGGGTTTGTGTAATTTCAAAGATTAGGTTAGAGTTAGACTGTGGGATTTTTGGCAAGGTCAACTGGATGGTTATTGGGTGTGGAGCTGGATTTTTTTTTCCTTGGCTATATTAGCAGCAAAATCAATCAAGAAGATGACAATGGATTTCTAAAAACACAATGACAATAAAGAATGATTGAAGTTGGGATTTGATACCAAACTGATACTGGACAGGAATGATTAGAAATCACAGAATAGAAAGAGAAGAAGAAAGAAGGGGGTGGAAGAGATTTACCTCATCCTCACAAAAAATCAGTGAAGAAACACACAAAATTCTCCATAGAGAAATAAGTGTTTATTATATCACTCTCTCTCNAGGCTCATCAATGGTATCTAATTTCAGCTCATCATTCAATTGAACTGGAGCTTGTGGTTGTGGGGGAATTTCTTGGGGCAGGGCTTGTTCAACTATTTGTTGATGGTCGATGGGTGAAGAAGATGAATCAAAATCTACCTTGTTCAAGGTTTTTATTTGGGAGCGTAATTCCAAAAATGCCAGCCAACTTGTGTACACTTTCATGTATATATTCCATTGATGTGTGGAGCGAATCCCTTGATGCTTGGAGTGAATGGAGCTTAGCATCATGTGCTTCAAGTTTAACAAGTAATTCGGCATTGGTAACCATCATGATTGAACAAGTGACTTGAAAAGTTGCAGAAAATTTTAGAGTCAAACTATAATATCTGAAAATTTTGGACTGATTTGTAATTTTTGAAAATTTTAGAGCCAAACAGTAATATCAAAAATTTTGGGAGAAAAATTGTAATTTTTAAACTTTGGGGGCCCAAAGTGTAATTTTAGAAACTTTAGGGGTCGAATATGTAATTTTAGAAAGGTTTTGGGGGGTTTGTGTAATTTCAAAGATTAGGTTAGAGTTAGACTGTGGGATTTTTGGCAAGGTCAACTGGATGGTTATTGGGTGTGGAGCTGGATTTTTTTTTCCTTGGCTATATTAGCAGCAAAATCAATCAAGAAGATGACAATGGATTTCTAAAAACACAATGACAATAAAGAATGATTGAAGTTGGGATTTGATACCAAACTGATGCTGGACAGGAATGATTAGAAATCATAGAATAGAAAGAGAAGAAGAAAGAAGGGGGTGGAAGAGATTTACCTCATCCTCATAAAAAATCAGTGAAGAAACACACAAATTCTCCACAAAGAAATAAGTGTTTATTATATCACTCTCCCTCTAATAAAAACAGTTGGGATTACACCATTATTTATAGGCTAAGTTTCCTACCAAAATAAAAACTATTCTCCTACTAAAATTTTAAAAGAGTTTCATAATCAAACTCTCATATTCTTATCCTACCAAAACTCTATAATAATTCTCTAATGAAACTCTAACTCATACTCCTAGTGAAACAAATATTCCCTAACTAATATAATAATAGTAAAACCAATAATTAAATTCAATTATTCAATTTAAGCTCATCCAATTATTTTTCGATCTCTATCTCCAATGAGTTTTGTTCAAGCCATTCAAGATCTTTAACACCAAGGTACGAGGTTGGGTAGAATCTCTATAAGGTAGCCTTAGATCTTAGGGATCTTGGGTAATGGTGGATGCTCTCTAGAGTATATGATAGATTTATCGGTCTAAAGGTTTACCCTATTAGTAGGAAAGACATTCCCCATTAATAGGCTTGAAATAGGGGCAATTTTAGTCAACAAAAAAATTCAGATTTACAAACAATCGCTCGATTGGTGGGAAGACGGTCATAAGGCGGTGGTAACTGGAATGAAAATCACGTTTTAAACTGACTTAGGAGTGTAGGCC